CCGTGGAAATGTTTTTCGATGGTCGATTTCCCTCACTGGCGAAGACTGCGACTGATATAGCAGTTGTGGGCATGTTTTTGGATAAGAGTGAAAAAGGTTGGTTCATGATTTTAAAAATAACTTTGTAGCCCAACGGGTAGCGCGCTTGAGAGAGGTCTGGGTTCAAGGAGACCCGGCCAGGTTACTTTGCTGTTTTCGCCTCGGAGTATAAATGGGTCGTGACTTAAAGGGATATTCCGAAATCAGGTTTCCGAGTAAGGACTAGAACCTAATATTGCTTATTACGTCATTATTTACCGAAAAATATATTATTGAGTTCTAGTTCTTACTCGGAAACCTCATTTTGGAGCATCCATTTAAGTCACAACCGAGTATACATGGGTGCAGGCAAACTCTCAGGGAAGCCCATCCACGGGGAAAAACCGCGATAAGCTCTGGCTGGATGGGTCAATCAACTGTAACTACCTTAATAAAATTTGCTTCACAGTTCTTATCCTGTGTACTGCCTTCTTTTTAGAATTTGAAGCTTTTGAAGCTGCAGCTAAATCCCTACGCGGCAAGTTTCTTATGGGTTACGTTACAAGTGCAACAGCGAAAACACTGTAAGTTGTTATTTTTACTTTACTCAGTTGAAACCTGCAGAGCTGGTTTCTGATGAGGAAAAGCGTGTTGGTGTTGTAAGTTGGATCGTTCACCGAGCCGCCATGTTTGATCGAGGGGGGTGGGGGAGGGGCATTAGGGGCTATTAAAAACCTCAAAACCGTAGAAAAAAATCATCCAAAACAGCTAAACCGCTAAAACAATGGGATCAAAATCGAAAACCGCATGAAAAACCGTACAGTGGTGACAAGAGGAACATAGAAGAGAAACCGGAACCCAAAAAGGGAAAACCGAAAACTGTATCGGATACCAAATACGAAAACCCGTTGGTATTTTTGGCGGAAAACAAAAACCAAATGCTCAAAAACGGAAAATCCGCAAACCACCATGACAACTAGAAGCGAAATACCGAAGTTTTTTGGTACAAAAACCGATCTGAAAATGGTCACTGAAACGGAAATCCCAATGCCCGCTTATTGAGAGTAAAAGAGAATGGAAAGGATAGAGGAGGACTAAGTCTTATTTTTCTCTACTTGGGAATGCACCACTGCTACCCTCTAGGCGTTAATGTGAGCTGACTTTTGGTTACAGGTCAACTAAGTATGGCCTGAAGCTGCCCGCCATCATGGCATATAAACGAAATGATCCTTTCCAGTCAGTGGACGTTTTTGAACGCAAGTTCACCTCACAGGCCATTGTTGATTTTGTTCTAAAAGGAAACTTACCGTCATTTGTAAGTATTTGAACTGGGACAAATCATTTGAGAACATTTCATGAGTCAGTAGAGTTTTGGTTTCCGTTTTTAAACGACCTACATGTATACTGATTAACAATTAGATCATAGGCTCAAGATTCCAACTTGAAATAGTTACGCCAGTGGTGGACGTTAACCGAGCCGCGAAACGGTGAGGTAAATATCCACCGACACCGAGGTAAATTGTTATTTTAATTTATATACTTAAACCTTGCGAGATGATTTTAACTTATTTATTCTCGAAACGGATGCACTATTTTCGAGCGCAAATCCTGCGCGAGTTGCTCGGTGGTGAATCGCAAAGGATATTTTGAGGTTGAGAAGCTAATCAGGGTGCGTCGCCCAAGGCTATCATGTACTGAATTTTGATGCTTTTCTTTGCAGGGCGAGCTGACACCTTTTAATCTTCCAACATACTTAACCTACAAAAAGCCGCTATTGATAGTGTTCCGAGCTGATAGCGCAGACTCCGTCATCACTCCTGTTATGACGAGGCTCGCACGCGACAGGTCGTTGCCATCTGTTTTCCTCTGCTGGATGCCTGTGTAAGTAACCGCATTTTTCAGTTTTGATGCATTCTAGTCAGTGAACAGAGGAATAGAGTACTCTTTGCGCTTAAGTTCGGATTCAGAAGTTTCAGGTTCGTCTCCTTCACAAATATGACCTGGGCCTTCACAAATATGACATGGGCGCGAGCTTTCCTGCGAAGCCTTGAGTAACGCGAGTCGGCGAGTGGTTTGCCGGAGTCTAGCACAGATATTAGTGCAAGACCCCCCGGTAAACCTCTACCCGATTTGTCTCCAGGCTTCCCTCAGGCGGAAAAACATGCGCTTTGCAGCGCACATGATTAGGACCTGCCCGCAGGCTACCATCACTAAGGTAACTGCTATCCGAGCAGGATAATAAATTCTTGCAGTGCCTCTCTCCACCCAGGGATGAGGGCTTTTTTTCAAAACAGATTTAAGTTAACCCAGGATTGCAGCAAATTATTGCTTTAGTTTTGAAGGCTTTACAGACGACTTTATCATCCATCATTTATGTCATTTAAATTCGCTTGACCGTAACATTTTAAATGCCACCAACAGTTATCATAAATACATGGATCACAGGAGAAAAATCACGCTTGAATCCTTAATTGATTGATGCTAATTGCTGCTCGAACAACCAGGTCCAATGGTAGGACTGGGAACCAGTGACCAGTGAACCCTTTTAACTCGCGGAGGCGATTAACATATAAATTCTCCCTTTGATATCCGAACAGTATCCAGCAATAAGGCTATGAGAATTCTCAAACGTATCAGTTAACCGTTGAAATCTTTATCTAACACCAAATTCTTGAAACTAATTTACAAGGAAATGTGTGGAGCTAGAGGGGAGAATAAACAATCAGATCTTTGGAGTTAGAGGGTTAAATAAAACGGGTGAATCAAAGGAAGGCCATCGATTATGGACTTGACACCAGAACAAGTTTCGCTGACGGGCCATTCCTCTCTTAGAACCTAGTGTCTGACTCTGAGCTAAGTTCTACGTTACGCCATTTTGAGTTCGTGACGAAATATTCTTGGCTGAGTTTTTCTTCGTTCTTTTGGAAATGAACTAGAGTGCAATGTGAGTCTTGTGAGATCACTTATGAATTATCAAGTAAGTTTCAATGGACGTTTTTGTAAAGATTTCGGTCGTGTGATTGTTCCAGGTATTCTACCACAGATGTGAACGCAGAGATCTTGAAGTCCTATACTGGAACGAGTGAGTCTCTTCCCGCTTTGGTCCTTGTAAATCACGAAAAGGTTAGTCCAATATTTTTCAAGGAAAAATTTTTCTCGAAGTCTTGAACGTAATCTGTGATTGTTTGGTTTTGCTGCACGCTGCTCTGTGATTGGTAGTAAATTTCGTGCCATCCTCTCAACCAATCAGATACAATATTAAAACCAACCGCCACCCGCGTTTTTCCGCGCTTCAGCAGTTGGCCTGTTTTAAACTTAAATTCTCATTGGCTGATGATGATGTCAACCTTTGTTCTGATTGGTTGTTAGGATCACTTTAAAAAACGCTGTATTATTGACACCCACACTGGTTGTATGAGTAAAAGGTGAATTATGAACTTCCTGCCGGCAGGCGTTTTTTTTTTTAAATTTGGTAATCAGTAATGAGAACTGTTATAACAATTTTTTCAATTATTTTTTTTAATTTTCAATTAATCAATTGTTTTTCAAGGGAACTGTACATCTCTTCAAAAATGACGTAACAAAACAAGCAGTAAAAGGCTGGGTGGAGAGCATTCTCAATGGAAAGGAGCAACCCACCAGTAAGTGTTAATACATTTCTGTGAAATTTTTCTTGTGGCCTCTGGTATTTCATCTCGAAGAAATATGACAAGTAGCGAGTCGTCTCAACTGAACTGATCAATTTCCAAGGGGGTTTGCTAATAGTTTTCATTCATCAGACTCTATGCGGTTTTTTTGGTTTTTTGTGAATTGCTTCGCTGAGTATTCTAATTTCCATTTTTTTCTGATCGCACTTTTGACCGCTGCCTGGGTTGCTCCGGTTGTAGAGTGTCCCGGGCTGCCTTGCGGGACGTCGAGGGTTCAAGCTCCAAACCGGACCAACACTCAGGTTCTTAAAATAATTTAGGAGAATGTCCTGCCTTTTCTATGACATACGCAAATGGCTAGACATTCTAGTCTTCTCAAAGAAGGACGATAAACCGTAGGCCCTGCCTCCTGCATCTCCTCTGTATTGGTTAGCAGGGGACGTTATAGGCTCGTTACCAGTCCCTGTTCAGGAACCGGAGCCCGCGTTCCTCCCCCACTCTTCTCGGGGAGGAACGAAAAAGATCGGACTCGAGAGAGAGCGGCGGAAATCGAGCCTGGGGACGTTAAAGCCCACGCACTTCTCGCAAATTGTAGGGAACGTAACCCCTGGTATTTTTAACTTACCTGGTTAATAATTAAACAGGCCCTTATTAAAACCAGCATTAAAACTGAACTTGGCCAGGCTTTGAAATATGACAAATAAATAAATTAGTAAATAAAATACAGAAATCGCTGGAGCGCTTAACCGAAATTAATTTACATTTTATAGTAACAATTCTTCGATTGATTCTTTACGTTTTAGTAGCATTGTTTCCTTTCCGTTGAGGTAGTAAGACTTGTTTGGTGACCATTGTTTAGAGACCATTATACAAGTTTAGTCATCATTCATCTTATACTTCACGCCGATTTCGGCAAACATCGGAAAGGCTCGTGAACTTAAGTGAAATTCTTAACGACAGGGCTTTTCAGCGATGGCGAGTGGAAACCGCGTTTGGAGGGCTATGATTTTCTGCGAATGCTAGACGAAGAGGAAGAGGAAAAAGAAAGACAACGATTGAAAAAGAAGAAACTAGAACGAGCTCTTAAAGAGACGGACAACTTGGACGAAGAGGAACCGGATTGGTCACCACCGGAAGCAAACGTGGTTGAGGAACGTGATCGGAAGACAAACCGCCTAAGACGACCGGAGATAAGAGTTACACGTCGAGATGAACTATGATTAAGTTTAAGAATGAAGATTATTATTAATGGATCGTTTGCATTTAGAAGTTGTACTGACTTATCTATACAGCTGGAAGTAAACAGTCACGGATTTTCCCTCTGGTACTAAATCTGATATAATATCTTAGTAGAGTCGTCTACTGAAACAGACAGATGCAGTGGTCAAATACTAAAAATTCATTTCACAAAATGTGAATTCTTGATAGAATATAGCTTCTGTTTATCATTTCTGACAACTTTTTGCCGTCAAAACCCAAGTGTACAAAACTTCAAGAAATAAATGAATGAAAACCCTCTTCTTGTGAGGCTCTGCAGATTTCTCGACATCCGCTAGGTGTACGCAAAATGTAAACATTATAGTTTCCCAAGGATTCGAAGGGTAATACAATCCATTGCAAAAACGTTAACTCTTAAAAATATATGAAAGATAAGACCAAGTTGCATTAAGGTTATACATGTTAAACATCTACTGTTTGGGAAAACTGTAATTTTTCATGTCCTACGAAAAAGAAGGGGAAAAAATTACTTAAAAATAAAAATGGGAAGATATCTATTATATCCCAAAATCTTTATTTCATTAATGAAAGTTTTAGGTTGTGATTTGACACTGCCGTTGCTGATATACCTTCGAATCTCTATTCAATATCGTTTGATAGCAGAGCTTAGTTTCTGGCCTCGAAACAAGGAAGAAGTGTGTTTGGGGGTTTTCTACGTAGAGCTGGAAATAAAAGCGATAGGGAATTAAGTGCTGAAACGGTCATGTGGTTGTTTTCCAACCAAATTATTTGTGTGAGTGAGTGAGTCAACTGAGTACTGTACATATTCAGTGGTTGCATGGGTATTCAATGCAGCAATAGATCGGATTAGGCGAATATTGTTAAAAAAAAATTACGTTTGCGTTTTGTTGTCTTCCAATTACTTCGATGAGTTTGTACTCCACTGTGGCTTTAATTTAGTTTTAATTTGCCATTCTGCAATGAGTGGTTGCATTATAGAAACGATGCTTTCCTGCCAAGTCCTGCATCACGGATCTGACAAACTTACGCTCTGAAATTAGCCTGAGTTGTAGATCACCCAGGTCACCGTTAAAGAACGTCTTTTATTTACCACCCCAACCCCTCCCCCTAAGAAGTTAGCCTATAGCCTCCCCCTACCCTCCAAAGGAAATCAAGAAAGAAAGCTTATAGCAGTATCAGGTTTTGGAGGGAAGTCGAAGATGACGGCTTTGGATTATGACGCGTTAGAATGTGAAATTTTCCTAATTTTAAAGGAGCTTCATGAGGTTATGTTTGACTCTCAGACTTTGGTGGTAATGCATTTAAAATTCTTCGTCGGTGTTGACCCTAAATCGACACCGGATTTGTTCTCAGTTACATGAAACTCACAGTTAAGGATAAAAGACACCAGACAAAATTTAATTGTATTAGCAACAGAAGAGGGCGGAAATTGACGTTCATCTCAATTAGCATATAAAAACTGATCCTGTTGCCAACATAATCGCTGCTTAATTTATAATTTGAGTCGAGGCCGGTGATAAAGAGAATTGTCAATGTCTTACTCTAGAGCTTGTTCTAATCCAGTTAACTTTGGAGTGAACCATCTCTTGTCGTCTACAACATGTACAACACATGCCACATTTTATTCAGCTCGCGAGGTAGTGTGGAGGTAAAGGGAAAGCTTAACATTTCAGAGTAACTTTGTATCATGGTTTAAGCTAAAGGACCCTGAAGCGCAATGTAGTACATGTACAATATCCGCCATTCGTACTCAATTTTCCGGTTTGTCACGCAAAATCTGTTTATTATACATCGCGGGCGACGATTGATAAATAGCAGAAGTCTATGACGAGAAAAGCCGTGGGAAAAGCAACTCGTTACTTCAAGGAAGTTTCAAGCTGAACATCGACCCGATAAAACAACAGACTCTATTAGTAAAGCTTATAAACAGTGAAATATCATGTGCGCTCTAAATGGTTCAGACAATAACCCAAACAAAACTTTTCATATGTTGATTAATTAGTTTTGAAAGCACCGATTTCTGTTAAAAATAAGTCACGTCTCACATCTTAATCTTTGGCAGGCTGGAAACCAAAACCCTTCAGCGCTAAAATAATGATTAAATGCCATTTAAGAATGTAAAATTCCCAAGGAATTTTGTTTTTCAGTTAAAGTGAAATGCAAATTACAGTTTCCGCCATGCTGAACTCCCTTGGGGAGTTTTTACGTCTCGCGCGTCACACAAGTACACGTTTCCACCAATCAGAAGCGAGAATTGCGGATGTGCCCGTACCTGTCCTGTCAAAACAGGGTTCTTTTATTCGGAAAGCATCCTTCCATAACGGCTTCGTCTTGTTGTAGTGAACATGATTTTTGCCTCATAATGTTGCTATCGGGCTTGCATGTAGCCCGTATTTTCCATCTTTCATTGTGTTACGGAGCGCTTTGTGTCTGTTTAATTTGGACAAATTTAGGTGGGATTTATTGACATCTCATAAAGCATGTGTATTGCTATACTGGATCTCGTTATTGGTTAATTAATCTTTGACCAATCAAGCATCACACGACGAGAACGTGTTCCTCTCGGCGGTCGAGACTCGAGAGCGTGGAAAAGTTTGGTTTGGTTGTTTGACTCGGAAATGAAGAAACATCTTTTGGTAAGTTACATATTGAATGTTTTACCTTACCATTAAAATGCAGATTACCTTTGTTGTTTGCTTATAATTTACCAAAGAAATGCAAAATTTCCACCGAATATGCGAAAGCTTCTTGCGCTAAAAAGTGCAATGTGATTTGTAAGTGGAAATGTACGTTGTTCACGGAAGAATGTAAGAGAATTTTAAGTGACTTTTACCACCTATTGTTGCCAAATTGTCTTACAAAATCGAACCTATAAACCCACGCAATCTGAGATTTTAGAGAACTAATTTCAGGGTCACTCGAACAAGTAATATACAAGCTGTATCGTTGACGGAATTAACAACACATGCACGGGATTCAATATTGTTGTTGTAAACTTGTCTTTCAACCAGTGTCGGATATTGGTCAGCCGGAAAAAATATACATTAAAATAAATAAATTCCGTTCCTTTTTTGGACTCAAAAGAAATACTCTTTTGCTGTTTGACGAAAATGTTCACCTGGGTTAACCTGTTTATTCGATGGATTCTATTTTGCAGGAGAAAAATTTCATTAGTCAGCAATTTTGAGAGAGGCTGTTAATTCGATTCCCTCGGAGACTCGACAGAGCACTTTGTAAATTGAAAACATCGCAGATAAACCTTTTCTTATTGTCTTTACTGTGGTAAATAAAAAATTTGTGTTTTTGAGGTAATTATAATGTATTCGTGACGTGCTGTGCTATGTGGTGTGTAAAGTTTCGCTTTACACTGAAGCTACGCGAAGATATCAAATAGATCTACCCTTGTTAAGAAATGTTATTGAAATAGATTATTACAAATGCAAAGGATGGTTTATCAATTTTTTTTGTACGGTTCTCCATCAAATTTTAGGGATACATTCTGTACCGAATTATATGCGTGCTACTTTCTGCGAGAGATCGGAAGAAAGTTTTTCTTAACCATCCGCACATACGTGTTCATTCGTTTATTTTCAAAAATGGCCTCGAAATTGTAATAACGGCGAATTACTCATAAATTCAGATCCAGATTATCAGCTTCGCTTAGAGAGAGGACAGACGATAAATCAGTCCTTTAGAAACTTAAAATACCTTTTATCAGATAGATGCCCCAAGTAAATAATACCAGTGTCATCTGGTGTAATGCGTTTGGTTAAGTGCTGTCTTTATTGAAAAAATATCGCTTTGATTTTAATCCATCGAAGGTCAGAGCTGTTCGAACGCTTCGCAAACAATTTTCTATGATTGCATCAGAAATCGTTTAACTATTTGCTAATGATTTAACAAAAGAGGTAACTCGACATTGAAAAAAAACAATTATTTTGCCCCGCTGTTGCTTCTCGGTTGGATAGTAATACAAAAATTTTCGACTTGTTCGAACGCATTTGTCGCTATTTTCAATGACAACAACATCTCCAACGCCATATTTTCTTTCGTTTCATTCGTTTGATGAGCAATCGTTGGATTAGTAGCTTTGCATTATGCAGATTTGCTCTAGTCATTTTAGAGAATCCTAAAAACAAACCCCCAGTTAACTTGCAGGCAGGCTTTCAAAATTGAAAAAAATTGTGCGGTTTGTCAACAATTTTTCTAAAGTTATGTAAAAAGAACGTTGGAGAGTGAAGTTTTTACCTGCACGAAGCACTTCAGTGCTTAAAGTGATACACGAATAGTTTAATTTTGCAGGTAATATTTCGTAATCAATAGCAGTTGCCCTGAATAGTATTGCCCTGGAAAATAAAAGAATTTCGTTCCTTGTTTCCGGATTTGTTTGCAAGGAAAACAAGCGTAACAGTTTAACTTTGAGTAATTATTTGGATGGCAAATTAATTTTCTCCGAATATTTTGTAAGTGATGTCAAATTTCACTAAGTCAGTTTCGAAATGTGTCGATTGCATAAGAGTTTTCATGAACTTTAGAAGTAATCGTTATTTCATTTCCTCAGAAACTAGACGTTGAAACAGGTTGAATTTAAAAATATTTTGATTTCATCTAAACTTTACAGTCACGAATGGATCCTGACAACAATTTTTCTCCCAATTCCTATTTGAGAATGAAACTCTGTCCTCGTTTTACGCAAACTTTGCCGTTGCGAAAATATCTTAATTTCATTTTTGGCGTTTAATATTTTGTCTTAACCTTGCATTGACAGTTACATAGATCATAAATGCATTGACAAACAGGCCTATAGTGTATTTTTGAACTTTAAACTTTTAAATTATCATATGTATGTCTGTATAAATTCTAGAGCAGCTTCAAGTTGTTTGTACTTAGCTATCCTGTTTTTTCACACCATCTCGGTACACAGTCTTAATTGGCATAAGGACTCGGTTCTTTGAGCGAAGAAGAACTTGACTGACAAAGCCTTAAAGAGTGTTTTTATTTTATTTTATTTGATTCGGTTCCTTTTATGCCAAAAGCTGCAATTTGGTTTATGTAGAAGTAGCAGTTTCTATAATATTTTTCCTGAATTTACATTCATTGCTGCGAGTGACTGCGCTCTAATGGGTAAAAAAGAAAACTAGACCGTTTAATAAACACGAACTCATTTTCTTTTTCTCTCTCTCTCTCTCTCTTTTTTTTTTTTTTTTTTTTTTTTTTTTTTTTTTTATAAACGTGTTCTATCATTTCGTTTAAGAACTGAAAATTGAGATATGAATTTCTCTTGATGAGTGGGAAGTATTTGTTACATCAGCTATCCCCGTGGATGCCAAAACGATGTTTTATTTATTTATTTTTTTTATTTCATTAAAGCTTTATTTTGCTGAAATACTACTTTATTGTCAAAATCTAAGAAAACTGTTTCGTTGGAGACAGAATGTTTTTTCTCGTAAAACACCGTTTCATGAACACTGGTCGCATGACAGCGAATCCAAGATGTACCTGCATAAGGATTTTGTTTGCTAGAGACCACAAAACACTCGCAACCAACCATTTAAAAACTGTTTCACCGACTTCTGCTTATCCGGCCTGCCCTAGTTTTCTAAAAAGGATGTTGGGAAAAATTAATTCGTTTTACCGTGTCACTATTTCGTTTGAAAATTAGATGAATTCTGATTTTCTAATCAAAGTTTCGGACTCTTTAAAAATCGCAAACAACAGCTTGGAACTGCCAATGGCTGAAATCCCTCGTTGTGAGTGAAATTCAGCATTGACATTCTAATCGAGGTAGGCATTAGAAGATTACGGCACATTTACGAGGACAACTTTGGACTTAGAAATTTAAATCCAGGACAGGAACATTATGTAAGCTTCGTATTGTATTTAAAACCTAAACGTACTTTATTTTTTAATATTTCACTTTATAATTTAAGATTCAGTGGACGAACATGTCAAGTTTATAGTTTGAAACTTGAATATTCGATCAGTGGTGTCAGAGTATTACGAAACATTTTTCGTTGTTATTTGAAACATCACGGTGGAGCAATGGAGAAAACGTCTGATTATTCGTTTGGAGGAAAGACTCGTATATTTAGACGTTCATTCTTAATCGTTATCCTATATTTTCTGGGATGTACATGTACTTGAGCTAATTTCTACAATTTTGAAGTCATTTAGAAGTCAATATTTTGTGAAAGTTGCAATTTTTAACTAGCCCGAGCAAATCTTCTGAGTCGCGCACACAGATTTGTTTACTTAAGACCGATTCGGAAACATTTATTATCCACCATTGTTTTATCATTGTTTTCTTTTTTTAGGTACACATGTAAACATTGTGTTCCTGTTTTAAGACTTTTAAGTGTTTGTTTTCATTAGAAATAAGTTGAGGCAAATAATTTATGATCAGAAGAAACTAACGAAGTTTTATGAACTACATATAGCATTCAGAATTTTTTTCGCGAATCTGTTTAAGTTCATCATTGCTGGTGGTTGTTTTTGGAAAGAAATTAAAACAAAAATTAAAAGAAGATAAAAAGTCAAGGGCTAGAGGAAAATTCGCGAAAATTTTGTGCCAAATCATGTAAAGAAGTGCAGCACTATTTTTAAATCTAATTCTAACTTGCAGCCTTCTAGAATCAGGGAGGTTTCATTTGAAGAGAACTTTCCGCCTTCCTCGTGTCTCTGAACAAGTAATTTTGTACTGTGATAATCTACTGGTAAGATAAACTACTTTTGAAGACAAAAATGTCTTAATTGTAGCAATAAACTTAAGCGCTTCTTTGCTTTCGTTTAAATTTTTCAGCCGTCACGCGTCACAGAGAACTGAACCGTGCTATTTAAGGGTCCTTAAGCCTTTATAACAACATGTATACCGCAAACAACCACAATAATTCATTTCCTTTAGGTGGTTACGTTTCGCTAAATTTAGTATTAGATCGCAGTTGTAGAGATATATTTAGATAGATTTGTTTAATAATATCAGATCTCTATGTCCATTCAAAGGAGAAAAAGGGCAGCTTGCCAGATCTCTTCTCCGCCACTATTGTTCTTCGCGTCAAATGTATATTTCCCGATTACGTTTACGCTTTTTATTTCTGTATTATTTGGTAAAACCAGTCAGGCTTTCTTGGCGAGTTTATCTCGATGAAATTCAGTTTTTTTTTTGTGAGTTTTTTTACCTTAACATGAAAGATTTAACTTAAATACGCGGGTGTAGTTTTTGTGTCCAACTTGTCTTAAGTAATGCTATACAAGAATTTGCATGCCCCAGCCTATTGCATAATTAACTTTTTCTTGGTTGGAGTTAATCTTGCATTCGCAATGGAAAACATGAGTCGCCGATTAAGAGAAACTAACCTTGGTTTTCACCTCCTTGCAGTAAGTATAAATGTTAAAGTTTTCTCATTTTCAGTATATGATTTTTTTCTCTGCTACGTTTCTTCGATTTCAACCTGCGACTGAGAGTCTCTCTCGCCATTTGAATGCACAATTGACACGTGTTCTCGTTACTCGTTACACGTTACTCGTTACACGTGTTCTCGTTATTTGTGAGGCGAAAGACGGACTTGTAGATTCTTAAACAATCGTTGATTTTTTAAAAATATGTCTGAAGAAAGCTTGTTTCATGTGCCACAAAACTGAAACAACGAAGAAATCAAAATCTCCCGCGAGGACACAAATTAGAAACCCTTTATGTTTTGCGCTCTTGAGCTGTAGAAAACTGAGCTCCATGAAGTTCGATATGAGGTATGTACATGGCAGTCTTCCCATATCTTGTGGCACAAAAAATTGGACTTAACACTATAGCATTAGTAACGACTTAATTAGAAATCTGTCACAGCCTCTAGAGGTATTACAAGAAGTAGCTTTTAATCTCAATGCTATTCATCCTCTCTAAGGCTAAAACTCTCTTCGATTCTTTTATAAAGCTGGATGTGGATTGTCTTGATCTTGAGGCTAATGTAAGCTGCATTTCTTAAAAGTAATATATCAAACATTACCAAGAGTAGCGGACGGATTTAAGGGGACAACAATTTTCATTCCATGAAGAGATGAAAGGCTTTTTCGAATTAACTAAGGGCGGAGGAATTTTAAAATTTGTGCGCAGAACAGTAATTGACCTCTGCGACCACATAATGTCTTGCTTCGTACTAAATTAGTCAAGTTAAAGTATTGAATTAGTTAAATATATATTGCGTCAGTGACGTCGCTTTTTCTCTCGATCCGGGATGGAACTTGTCTCGATGGAACTTGTAATGGTGTACATTTCAAAAGACAAATCGCAAAAAAAATTTAAGTTAATTTTTTTCTTATGGAGGTGCAGTACAAAGCATGGCCAATTTTTCCCCAGGTTAAATCAAAATCGTCAGACCCTTTATCCTCAGAAGTGATTAACTTGTAACTTCTCCATACAATATCCATACATTATCCAGCGAATGGGTAATGAGAATACTCACAGTTATCAATGAGAAGTTGTTTTCTTGATCTAACAATAAATTAGCATAAGTGATGTACAAGGAAATGTGTAGCAGCTACAAAGGAGAATTAACAGTCAGATCTTGGTAGTTACAGGGTTAAGAACACGACTTGAATCAAAGAGAAATGGCGTCGTCTCGTCACTAACTTGACACAAAGGAAACTATTCGGAGTCTCTCCGCGAGAAATCGAATCTCATACCTTTGAATCACGCTATCTGATGCTCAACCACTGAGCTATAGTGATGAGCCAAGTCATCTTTATAACGAAAACATTTTTTTCGATACAAGAGGACTTGTTATCGGGGGAGGTGTACACCCTAACTTTGTTTGGCCAGCATTTATCCAATTATTCAATAGCCACGTTTACACTTAACTCAAGCTAAGGTTGAGTGTCTGTTAACCCAACCCCCCCCCCTTCCCAACTTGGGAGGTGCTTTTGACACACACGTACCCACACGTGACAAAAGCCCTGCATGTTGTTAGGATCATTCAGCGAAAGCAATCCAGGCCATCCAGTGTCAAGTTCAGTAGTGTAAGAAATCGAATTTGTTTTCCAAAGACTTGTCTAACATCAGGGTTTAACTTTAACCATACGATCATTACCACCTGATCATGCAACGACTACCACGGGATCATAGTCCACCACAATGTGATCACGTGCTCTTTTTTATTCGGAGCCACTTAGAAAGAATATGATGGGGACGTCACTGCTTCCAAATACATCACTGTATCTTAGCCGTTGTTCAGGAAATCTGTAGGAGGCTGGCTTGACCGCGAGGAGGGGGGTGGGGTGGGGGTGTGTTACTTCTCGCGCGCTCGCTTCAAATTTTTCTTATCGTAAAAATTTGTAGTAATTTTTCGTTTCCTTTTCTATAGATTATTTTCACTTTCTCTGTTCTCCTGGTGTATGCGTTAGACTGTCCTGACAATATGTACAAGAGCGGTCCACTCTGCTGCAAGTTCTGTCCGGTAGGAACTTATATGGTCAAGAACTGCAACGTGAGCAAAGGAAATTCTTTTTGTAAACCATGCCCGGTAAGTCTGCTTAATTTTTTTTGTTTGTTACAGAGGAAAATTTTACGGAATTGTAAATTTTGACCGATATTACTTTGCGTTATCTACCTTTAGCTGAGATCGGAAACAATAAGAACTCTCAGACTGTTTCTGTTGTTCTTTCCGGCGTAGTAGTCTAGATGCCCGCCAACAATTTTAACTTGACTGTTGAACTTTACCCATGTTACTCAGCGTCATTTTGTTAAAAGGGGAGGGAGGGTGGGGGCGGAGAGGGACTAGGATTGTTGTACGTAGCGTCTGTCCTGGGAAGTCTTTTATAGATCTCTCCAGGTATTTTTGTAACAACATGAATGTATAAAATCTTACCACAATTGTTGGCGTCTTGTGGGTCATAATAGCTTCAGCTAACTATTGTTAGCACATAAATGTTCACCTAGCTTCTCTGTGTTGGCACATGAACGATGACTTCCGCCTTGAGGGTAAAGGAACAAATGACTTCCGGTTTTCTATGCTATGATAGACATTTATTGTCTGATCCTGAGGGAAACAATTTTTTTTTGTCCGAGAGTCTCTGTTTCACGTGTACTCGCGCCAAAAACTACGTATCAAGAAAAAAACAAATCAAACAGTTATGGTGGAGTAAAAAACTATTTTTAGGGTTATCAACTCTTTGCCGACGGAATTCGTTTACCCAATATTTAACAATCATTCGTCCAATAATCCCCGAGACGAAGTCGAAGGGATTATTCGACAACATTCACCGAGCCTAAGGCGAATAATTGTTTTAGTATAACTTCTGAGCTGAACAACAGAGAAATTTCTGAAAATCATAACATTTTAGTAACAGTTATTAACATTTTATTATAACATTTTATATAAACCGCGTGAAGCGCTTTATATAGCGTCATATAAGGAACTGCTCGACCAATCACATTGCTGGAAACTCTTTGCTCAGTTCTGAAATTATACTAATATGATGTAAATACATAAATTATATAAGACGCGCGCTGTGATTGGTCAATTCAATGTCTACTATTTTCCCATGGGTGTATGCTGCTGGCGTACGCAAAGATTGTTTTTTTTGTGTTATAAAACATATGGTAATCGCCACAGCGTTCACTATCGATTTATGAATGTTCTTGTGAGGTTTACTAAGCATTTGAGTTGCTAGAGTTGTGCTCGCTCGCCTATCGCCTCGTGCGACTCTTACGCTTCTTTCGTGCCTAGCAAACCTCCTGCGTGTATTAATAACTCAATAGTGTACACTGTGGTGTTTAACATTTGTTAATTTCATCGCAGCAAATTGACGAGGTCATTGTCCCTTGGACGATTTTGATGAAACTGGATTCCTCATTAGAGCGAGAAAAGTAGTTTTTAAGAAGCCACTAGCGCGATTTTACGTTTAAAATCACTTTTTTGTACAAACAAGGAAACCAAATCTTATCTTCATGGAAAGAAAAATAGACAAGGTTATTTATTTCTTGTCCGTCAATTCTCAGAGTGAGACATTCATGGATAAAGTAAATAACAACACCAAGTGCAAGCAGTGTCTGAAATGCCCGCCTTCCCAGACGGCCATGCGGCAGTGCAAGCCAACTCACGATAGGGAATGTGGATGCCCCTCCGGAATGTACCATGATCAGGCAGTTTTGATTTGCATGGAGTGTCTTAAGTGTGACATCGGTCACGGGGTTGTGTCACCCTGCACAAACATAAGTAACACGGAATGTCAGCCCTGTCGAGAGGTACGTGTAACAAGACTCAACAGCTAGTCGTTATGAAAACAGTTCAGTTTGTTGCTCGAGGCGGAGGTCAACATCCACAGGTACCAGTGTATTGTTACCCTCCTACGTCATTGCCCGCTCAGAGATTTTGAGTCCCCCCCCCCACCCCCCTTGCGATGAATAATGTCTTTCTAATTTGTTTTCCTTTTATGTAACCATCCAGGGAACATTTTCTGATCGCGTTAGTCATGAGCAGGAATGTTTGAATTGCTCACAGTGTGGCCCAGGTACAGTGATTGAGGAAAAATGCACAATAGCAAGAGACACAGTCTGCCAGAGAGCGAACGAATCGCGAATTTCTACTGTTTCCCAAGCTGTCCCTCCGGGTATGTTTATATACGCGTCACGAAAATTACTATGAGAAATTTAAATTGTCTCTATCTAATGCCTACGCACCCACCCCACCCCTAACACAACATTAACCCTAACCTGTTATTAATTGACTGTTACTGGATAAGGAAGGGGTTGAATGCAGCTGCTCAAATACTGCGTTTAATTTTATGCCATATCATCACTCCTTTACTGACCTAGCTTGTTCACGGCGGTCATGATATCCAGTATGTAACCAATATCCAGCTATCTTGACCTCACGTATGGTCAATAACGCAGATACATATTTACGCTTTATTTCAATCACTACAGTCTCTCGAGCACCTTTCATGCCAACCAATGCTGGAAGTTCATTAACCCCTGTTGAGAAGGTAACACCCAACTACAAAACGTATATCATCATTGGCATCATTGTCGCTTTATTGCTCCTCGTTCTTTTTGCTGTGGTATTTTACCGTTACCGGAGGAAACAAAATCGGCCAGAAAGAAACCAGGCAGATGACCCTCCAGGTAAGAAAATAGTTTGTCTTCTTTCGCTTGTACTTGTTGTCTGATTATCTGGTTATTTTCATCGACACCTCCACATCTTACGCCTGAAGAGGAGATCGAACGCTATCAAAAGCGATAGAATGTCCCGATGTCGTCGAAACTTTGGTTTAATTTTTGTTATTGGCCGTGAGGATGACCAATCGCTTTGCGAAACCATGCAAAAACGATGCAATCCCTGGTAGTTTTCGCCACTACGAAAGATAACTCTGTATGAATTCGAGTCGCAAGAAAATGCAGCGAAAACTGATAACAACGAGTAGTTTTATTGAAGAATGCTAAAGGATGAAAAGTTCGTTAATTCTGGCTTGAAGTTTACCGATAAAAGCCGCTGGCCCGCTTATTTGCGTGCCCTGCGCGAACTTTGTTAAATAATTCGCGTTATCCAAGATAGAACAGAAAAGAAAAAGTTTGACAGTCAACAGTCTTCAATACTAAACTAACGCTACATGTTAAATAAAATGGCTCTCTTCTTTTTCTATGGTTTTTATCCGCGAAGGGACTAGAGGAGACACAATGCTTGACAAATTCGCTGTTGTTGTTGTTTTAGAAATGGAGGAAACCAAATATGACTTCGTGCCGCCGATTTCATCAGAGACACCAGCTCACGCGCGATCCTCGCACGGACTTCGAGGAAGGCGGACGACTAACTCCTCCAGACCAAATAGTCACCACCGAGATTCTGACTCTCAGGGTAGCAGTGGCTCTTTACAGGGGGTCAGCGTAAGCAACGGTAAAAGTAAGTAAGCCTTAAATGGAAAAGAGTTCGGTCTGTATGTAACATAATACTTGACGAGTCAGAGGAAGCGCGCTTGGTCGCGTGACACTTTCCCAACAATTGATACTGCATGTGGTATGACATTTAAACCTGATATTTTTGGATAAATTATTTTTCCCTAATTCATAATTATTTTATATCCAAAACCTGTTACTATTTAGCATTCCCTTCCCCTCCCCCTGAAGGCTGAACTCTATGCAGACCTACGACCTCTCCCCAGGCCTCCCGTTTCTACTGGCAAAAAAGTACGTAATGCTAAACTAAGAACGCCATGAAGATAACATTTTTGATTGCCCTACCACAGGTAAAACGTTAGTTCGGGACCTTCCGGTAAATGTGTCTATCGAACTTGGAAATTTGTTGAACCCCAAGTCGAGTAAAAACTGGGTGACACTAGCGGGGTACCTCGACTTTACCACGATTGAGATAAAAAACTTTGAACTGAATCCAAGTGAGGCAACACAGAGTATACTTTACCAGTGGGGACAAAAAGATGGTTCCACTGTGGATTTCCTTATCAACGTATTGAAGAAAATGAAGAGGGATGACTGTGTCCAAGTTCTTAAGCCGTGGGATAATTAAATGAAGCAAAAAGAACTGAGATGGCGTGCGAGGAGAAAAGGCGTTTTTCACAGGAGGTCGGAAGGTGGTGCTCTCGATCTTAACTAACAAGATGGAGAAGAAGGAGAACTTCAGTTGGATATTTTAACAGAACGAAGTTTCTTGGATCTGAAAGGAAGGTTATTAATTTGTTTGTTTCGTTTGTGCTGTAATTAAGGTAGCCAAAGGTTTCAGTTACTGTTCCCATAAGCACTTGCGGGTGGTGTAGTTGGCGGCTGTGGGCGAAAAGGGATCGCAAAGCGAAACCGAAACACGAGAGTGTCCTCGCACACTAAACAGAGCGGTAAAATGTCTCGACGCCGATTTACACTGACCAACTTTGTCAAGAGTGACAAGCTTAAGACAGGTCTGCGACACGAATTGTTTAGTATAAATCGAACCTGCAACTCGCCAACGACTGTGGCATACGTCAAAAAAATGTCGTAGGATTTTAGAACTTGTTGCAAAAAAAAAAAAAAATCGTAACCGAAATCGTTGAAAATAACGTATTATGTGTTCACTGAGCAAGGGTAGTCGTGCACATGTAAATGCTCTCAAGACGTGTGCCATGCCTGTAGCAAGCTTGTCGCATGCGTCAAAGTTTTAAGAAGAAAAAAAGAGCACCAGTTGCAACTGCTGTTGCATTTTCTGCTGTTCATTAACCCTTTCATTCCCAAGATCTCATTCGTAAGTCTACTTACTGTCTGCCATACAATTCTTTTGATCTTCGTTTAAAGAATTTGTTTTCGGATCAGCTCATAATTGAAAATTTTCTTTATTCTCATCATTTGTCTGCATGATAATGTATTTATATTCGAAGGAGAATTCCGTCTTGATCACGCATGGGAGTTAAAGGGTTAATTCGGCAGGTTCATCATCACATCAATCGCAGTTGTTTCATATAAAAGTTTCTCGAGTCGGAAGAGCGCGACTTGACGATCTCGGTTGCCATGTTGTCTTTCCTCGACTCGTCGACGCGGAGAAGTCTGGTAATGAGGGAGACTGTCGCGTTTCACCCAAACACGTTGATTACGTGTTCTATCGAGAAAAACCAAACACTTCAATCTAAAAAGGAAAGGAGAGGCATGTGGCGATAATAAGAGGTAAAAATGGCGCCTAACGTAGAGATGAAATAATGATAGTTTAAATTTAGCAAGACACCCGCTCATCTTTTGCGCGAGTCTTAGATCTGCAGATTACCGGATGAAGGTCACGGCCGGCAGTAAAAAAATCCTAGAGGAATAATGTTGTAGGATAAATATAGAGTTTAGTTAAAATTGTTAAAGTTCGGATAATTTTCTTGATCAAACTTACGTTTCTTTTCCGTAAGGCGGCACATCAATTCATTTATCGACCCAAATAGTAATCTCGTGCTTTGGATACTTTCTGCGTGTCATGAATGCAGCATAGCTGTCCGTGATAGACTTGGGCACCGGACCATTCGGTCACCTAAGATTCCACTTAAAATACTTTCAGCAGAATGCAAATGTTTTGTCTAGGCGATGATTTGATGTTGAAATCAAACCATAGGAATTTCGTTCTTGGGCTCTTTCTACTCATTGGAGTGAGGTCCTGGGAATGACAAATGCCTACGAAAAGAGAACCGTATGTTTCTTCAAGCAAAATGCTTATGTATATAACATAAATTATATAGTTTTTATTGAAATTGATAATCTAGACTCAATTACACCGTACGCATGCGATTCGCCTTTGAAATATCTTGTCAGTCACTTTAAAACACTAAAATTCGTGTCTCTTTGCAAGGCTCTATAAAACACAGATTTTATTTTGTGCGTCTTACTAACCGAGTTCGAGATACTGTAAGTTGCGGACCTAGTTTTTTTCCGTTTGGATGTATGACCCGATGCAAGCGTGATCAAAGCGCGCGTGCCATAAATCAGAGGGAAAAACGAGGTTCGGCAATAGAAGGCTAAGATTTCACCTCACACAAACTTTTGAATTAAGTGAGCAGTACAGTGAAATACGGCCCGCTAAATTGACCAATCACAGCACAAGTATGAACAAGGAGATATGGTACAATAATTCATGCAATTCTCGATCGCTTATCAGAAGATTAAACAGTGCGGGTCAAAAGAGTTTAGGAGATAGCTAAAGATACTAAATATTGGGGACACAATTTTCAAAAGAGGTTGAACAAGATTTTACTATAATAACATTCTTTATATATCTGTGGGGGAAGAGGGAGAAGTAGAAATCAGTCATTGCCGACAAAGTATAAAGGCGGGACTGTAGAAAGGTGACGGCCAATGACAGGGGGGATATTAAGAATCGTACAAGGCCTTAGAACGTTATTGTGAAATAACCAAAATCCCCCCCCCCCACCCCACCCAGGCGATATATAATGACCGGTCAATGAGGATGTCCTCTTTAAAGTGGTAAGAATTGAAATTTAAATTAAAATTGGGAGGAATAAAGACAAAAGATGAATGAAAAAACATCGTAACGTAATGGAGATTCAAAAGTTATAGATGTCAAGTTCCGAGGGGCGTTTATTTTTGTACAGCGAATTCGGAGCGTAAGATGTAATTGCATAAAAAAAAGGCGTATGAATATTTTCGGTAGATAGATGAATTTTTTAGTAAGAGAGCTTTGTTTAATGTTTGATTCTTGACTACGAGAAAGACTTTTGAAGAGAGTATCTTTATAATTGATATGACTGTTACTTGAAAGTTTCAGTAAATAAAAGTCCGACAAAATGACACCGAGTATTCTGATTGTAGTTAGAGAGGGACGCAACTTTTTCATTCACACCAGGCACGTGCGCTCTGCATTTCGTTTCCGTTCTCATGTAATGTTGGGTGTATGGGTAAAAATATATGTTCAAGGTAACAATTTACAAATCCCGTATTTACGCTTGGCGGGAAAAGTTCGTGTATGACAAGGTCTGTGTCTCTTTAATATGCGTTTGCATGTCAAGGGTCAATTCCCTGTTAAATAAATAGCGCCTAGGAATATAATTTCTGACTTTGAAATTAATCATCCCGCCATCGGTGTAACTGTTTGCATTTGTGTCGAGATTCTTTGGCAGATTGAAGTTTCGAATCTTTCAATAACGTCAGTTGCCTCCTAAGAACGAATTCGTCACGGAGGAGTGTCGCGCAGGCCCGTCAAACTTTGTAACCTTCGAAGAAACAGCAACAGACAGTGAATCCCCATTACAATCCACGTATATATTCACGCTATCTCGCTGCCACCAAAGAAGTTCATTCGAACGCGTCAAGATGCAAGTGAATCAAATTTTAATCGACCACAACGACGCAACGCAATAAGAGTTCGCTCACCGCCTGCGCTTGGGCTGCCTGTGTTTTTTACCATTAATTTAGTTAATAAAACCACGGGCGACCCAAGCGTACTGTGTGATTTTGAGGTCTAAAGTTTATTAACGGCAATACCTACGATCAAATTTTGAGCGTAAGTGTGGGCCGTTAAAGGGGAAATCATAAAAAAAATAATCAAAAATAAAAAAGGATAATAAAAGCGATGAATAAAACGTGTGAAGTCTCCTTACCATTTTTCCGTAGCTGCTTTGTTTCCAACGGTCGTTTTAACACTGTTTTGGCGACTTCCTCTGTAACGCGTGCGGTGTTACCAGTCACTGTATAAAAGCAAAAATTATTTAAAAAATTAAGAAAACATTAAAAAGGATAATAAAAGCGAGGAATATATCGTATGAAGTCTCCTTGCCTTTCATCCGTTGTTGCTTAATCGTTTACGATCCTTTTTAACGCTGTTTTGGCGACTTTCTTTGTAACGCGTGTGGTGCTACCGATCAACTGTATATTGAAAAACTCAAGGCTGGAAACTTCAATCGGTCCCGAAATACAACCGTCGCCACTCAAAGGTTGATAAATTCAACAAAAGTCGACCGATCTCCTCAAATGTTCATCCGCGAAGCGCATTGCTGATACCTACCCGTTCCAGCGGCACAAGTTTCCAAATTCCGCTGCATTGATCCGAGAGCCGCTCCGTTTTACCACCCATTCTGGCTAAATCGCTTTCTTTGTAGGTACTCGCAATCCTTTTGCCCTTACTACGAGATTCAAATATCGGAGCGCATCTGACCAAATAAAGACTCTCCAGGGGATCAATAGGAGGGTTGTCACCTTTGCCCTATTGTCAAACAACACCGTCTGGGGAGTAGTACGTGTAATTCGACCGGATTAAAGCTGTTAACGGCCCACGCTTACGCTTAAAATAATCGATATTAATATGTTAGGTATTACTGTTAATGAACTTTAAACCCCAAAATCATACACAGTACGCTTGGGCCGCCTATGGTATAAATTCGCCAGGCGAGCGCTAACCCTTCATCAGTATATATACGCCTTTCTATAAACTTGACTTCCACTTAAGGGTGTATCAAGGGTTGGGCGTCTGTGTGTGTGTGTGGAGGGGGAGGAGGGGCGAAAGCAAGACATCGGAGGGAAAATGTGCACCCCCCTCTTGTAAACTTGACCTTACACAAGGGTACATGAAGTGAGGAGGGAGCTAAGGAGAGTTTTGAGCCCCTCTTTCTAAGATTGCCCTCCCCTCCCCTGGTGCATGATAGGGAAAGGGGGGTTACTCCTATAAGGAGCATGCGTTAAAAGTGATAAGTGGGATTCCTCCACAAACCCCTTTGATCGACTTAACGATCTTTCTTTTATCATAGATAAGTGTCTCTTGACACCTGTCTATAATAATACATAGCGTTAACTCGGTTTTTCCTCTCTTCCATCACCATTGCACGCTTTTTTTTAATTCTTTTTATTCCACTCATTAAATATTGTTTAAAGGCTGGCGAACCAGTTGTATAGACCCGGGTTTTAATTCACCCCTTCCCCAGTTTTCTTGATTTTCCTTTCCTACTCCTCTGTCAAAATTCTGTTATAAAATAAACAGCTGAAAATATTTAAGGAGAGGGGAGAGGCAGGGAAAGTTTGAACACCTCAGTAATCTTTTGCTGCAATCAATGTCCTTTCCTCTATTTTTTCCTTTCTCCTTTTTTCAGTTAGCATGATAATTCACTTTTTCATCTAGTATTCATAAGCAGAGTAAAACCAGTTCCTGAACCAGACTTCTCATTTGACTGAGATCATTTGTGATTTTGTCTGCAATCGTAATATTGATGAAGTATTAATACGTCTTGCTTCCATACCTTAAAGTCAGACAGTCCAAGACTAAATGCGGCGACTGACACAGCGTAATTGTTTTAAGCATTAAAAAGAGCTAGCGGTTTTTAAATGACGCTAGAAAGTAGTATTGCAGAATATTGTCTCTCATACAAAACAGAAAACCAGCCGCAACCTTTGTCATACACGCCTTTTTTCAAGGCCTGCTCTAACACAATGAGCAAGTTACACGTATGTCCAATTTCCAAGATTGAAATTTCCCGCCCACACCCCCTTTGTAAACTGTGCACTTCACACCTTGTTCAAGATCTTTAAGAAATTCTCAGATTCAGGACACACAACTCTGTCTTAGATAGGGGCAAAGGNAGCGCGAGTGGAATAATTGTTTTATTAAAAAAAACGCCCCCAAGATATTAGAAAAATCTTCTCGACCTTATTTTGTAAGAAGAAACCAGATGGTACAAGGTACAGATATTAGATTATTGTATATTGGCTCATATACCATGATGGTAAGCCAATCAAAAGTCTTGAATTGCATTATCCAATGATCCAGTTTTTAATAATGTTCATTAACCCTGCCCGGGGTCAGACTCAAGAATCGCTGCTTTTATATGTTACACTATCGCTATTTAACATTGTTCCTTGGACGGAATATACATTTCCTAGGATAAGCCCATCCAACTTGGTTAGAGAAATATGACACTTCGATACAGAAGAAGTTAGAGCAGCAGCACCAGAATCATCGATGTAATTTCAAGGCCAATACAACACTGTCAGAGATGTGTTTTCTTTCAAACACTCAGCCAGAGCAGTAGCACCAGAATCACCAATGTTATTTCAAGGCCGATACAACACTGTCAGAGATGTGTTTTCTTTCAAAGACTCAGTCAGAGCAGCAGCACCAGAGTCACCAATGTTATTTTCATCCAAATTCAACATTGTCAGGGTTGAATTTTCTTTCAAACACTCGGCCAGAGCAACAGCACCAGCCTCGCCAATGTTACTATCATACAAACTCAATTCTGTCAGACATGTATTTTCTTTTAAACACTCAGCCAGAGCCGCAGCACCACCATCACCAATGTTACTCGTACCCAAATTCAAGTTAGTAAGAGATGTATTTTCTTTTAAACACTCAGCCAGGGCAGCAGCACCAGTTTCCCCAATGTTATTTTCATCCAAATTCAACATTGTCAGAGACTTATTTTCTTTCAAACACTTAGTAAGAGCAGCAGCACCAGCATCACCAATTTCATTAGAAGACAAATTCAAAGCCATCAGAGATGTATTCTCTTTCAAACTCTCAGCCAGAGCAGCAGCACCAGCTTCACCAATGTTATTATAATACAAACTCAACTCTGTCAGAGAAGCATTTTCTTTGAAACAATCAGCCAGAGCAGCAGCACCACCATCACCAATGTTACTCGTACCCAAATTCAAGTTAGTAAGAGATGTATTTTCTTTTAAACACTCAGCCAGAGCAGCAGCACCAGTTTCACCAATGTTATTACGAGACAAATTCAACTTTGTCAGAGATGTATTTTTTTTCAAACACTCAGCCAGAGCAGCAGCACCAGCATGACCAATGTTATTACGAGACAAATCCAACTTTGTCAGAAATGTATTCTCTTTCAAACACTCAGAAAGAGCAGCAGCACCATCATCACTAATTTCATTGTAAGAAAAATTCAATTCCGTCACACTTGTGTTTGACATAAGAACGTTGGTCAGTAACAGAGCGTTAGCTCCCAGTAATCCTCTGTGTGAAACATCAATGGCTTTAATCTGAAGGCAAGGGCCAAGAGCGCGGGCCAATTTTACATCGAAATTGTTGTCATTTTTGCACTCATAAATGCACTCCAATATAACAATCATTCTATCAGCGGCTTCCTTATCCCAGTCTAACCCACCAGGTACGTCCTTCTCTTCCTCCTGGTTTAAATGTGTTGTCATACTTTTCACAAGGTTCTCTGCTGTTTCCTTGCACCGTGCCCCGAGAATGCCAAATGTAAACAGAAGCACTTCTTTCAGCTCATCGTAAAATCGTCTGTCAGCGGCTATGCTTTCTATTCTTATTTCTTTCTTGATAAGCCGAAAACCGAGATCTAGTGCTGCGAAGAACTCTTGGAAAGTCTTGTGAAGAAAGCCATAACGTCTAGTAGCTCGGAGTTTACTGCCTCCGGGCTGAACGGAAAGAAATCCAAATCCTGGTAAATCGCTTGCTTTGTGTTTTCCAAGCTCCTTCTCGTCAAAGTCCAAGTTTGCTTCCAGTAACCCTTTCAAAGCTATCGAGCCAAGGTGTATCAATTGACTTTCGTAAAGTTCAACAAGGTCTTCGCCGTTTTCTGGAAGTTGTTTCTTTGCTCTGTATCTTCTTAGTACACACTCCACTATGTCCATGTACAGCTCCGATCTGCTTTCAGGGAACACGCCGTTCAAATCTTCCCAGACCAGGCAAAAAAGCGCACAATTCAGGGGAATCGCTGACATGTCTCGAAGTTTTCGATCATCGCGCAGCTGAACTGTAAGCTTGTTGGCCAAGTCCTTCCTCGTTTTGAAATATTTGTGGATAAAGCTTTTTGCTTCTTGATAAGTGAATCCCTCGACCTCCAGCAGCGTGTTGCAGTATTTTCGAACTTTGGCTCCGCTTTCGTGTCGTGCTGTAGCAACCACGCGACAATTTGGTAGTACCCGGCCTTGAATAATTTCTGTAAACATTGGTAGCTTCTTCTCAGAAACTTCATCCAATCCATCGAGTACCAGGAGAATTGTAGATTGGTTGTGGCGAATGAAGTCAAAGAATTTCCTTCTTTGGTTATCATCGACATCTCGAGGTAGAAGTTGATCATCAATGGCTTCCCAAATGTCGGACTGAACCTCACGACATTTAATTAAAAGCACTATGAGGAATTTTGCGAAGTAATTTCCGGTTTCGGGGGTGGCCCATTCAAAAACAACTTTTTTGCAGTAAGTTGTCTTTCCCATGCCAGGTTTACCCTCGATTAAGACAACTCTTGGTTCTTCACATTCTTCATGCGGGTTGAAGATTTCAGACATCGTGACAACTCGGTCCGTAGCTGTTCCTCTCGTTTTCTCTTTGTAGATGACTTTAAGTCTGGTGTAGAAATCTCCAAAAGAAAAGTTTAAGTGTTCACACCAGGGAAGGAGGTTCATCGTACCTTCGCGGGTTTTGTACAGTTGGCGAATGTTATCAATCATTTCGTTGGGATCAAAACCATCTGACATAAAAAATAGTTCTCGTAAGATGTTTAGTTAAACTATCGAATAGTATCTCAAAGCTGTTTTCCTACCCTTGTCTCGTGCTTCTCTCCTACTTTTGAACGCTGCCAACTCGATATTTCTGATTCTCATCCGCGGCCTTTGCAGCTCGACTTGTAAGTGCGGTTAATAACGCTTTTTAATTCCTCGTATGACAGGGTCGTAACATTTGCAAATAAAGATGACGGTATTTGACACATTACATTTTAAAAATTTGAAAACAGATTTTAACCTCCACCCTTGGTTTCTTGTTGGTGGACGACTGGCTCTGCAAGGAGTTCAACTTTTCTTTCACCTTTCCAAATTTATTTCCCAAACGCTCTAGCTTGGCTCTAATGCTTTTTGGGAAACAATTGTTTTCTTCAATTTATGTTCAAAAACGTTTTCTGGGAGGGACAGGTTTTTACTAGAAATCATGTTTGAGTTAACTTTATCCGATATAGGTTCTTCGTGATTAATTGCAAAAGGAGAAACCCTCGTTTACGAGGCTAGCTAGAAACTCAGCCTGTGGAATCACTTCCATGGTTAATCTGCCATTAGTTTTTGTGACTCCTAAATATGATTTTAAGTCTCCATCAACAACTGATCCTTTCTTTCCTTTTTTAGTTTAGAATAGCCATTAATAAAAGGTTTCGAAGCTCTTTACTAGAAATGCGTTTAAGTTTTTTTGTTACCACAGTTGAAATAGTAACAGGGTATTTCCGTATATCACGTTCAAAGTAACGGTTTAGAAATTGCTACTTCATTATGTCATAGAGTCGGCTCGTCTCCATCAATTTTGGTTTGCTACTTGTATTTATAATGCTAATTGAACTGAGTGGAGTGCAATATAGTCTGGAATCATGCGCGTGATTTACAATCACAAAATTGCACGACACGAAGTTCAATTACCATTATTTTGAAATTGCAAATTTCAGTCGCCCAAGACAAGTTTCTTTTAGTCTGTACAATATCTTTTTTGATCCAGTAGATTGAGCTGGTTTGTAAAAAGTTGCAAAAGTTGTCTCTCATTTTCCTTTAATTTGATTGATTTCTTCAAATAAGCCTTGAAATTTGATTAGTAGTTGCAATTATGTTTTCGTAAGGCTGTCTCTTTGGTGGGGGAAAAGATGCGATTCAGAGCATAAAATGGAGCGAAACGGTGAGGATAAATCGCACCAGTGAGAACCATTCGATTGTAAGGATCACAAGTGATTTCAAAATGGCTAAGAAATACCTCAAACAAGTGAAATCCAATTGCCAATAACTGACCTTCACTTTTTGTTTCTCCTTGTTGTACCATCAATGTGTCCAACTTGTCACTAAGGTTTCCAACCAGACTTCTCATTTGACTGAGATCATTTGTGATTTTGTCTGCAATCGTAATATTGATGAAGTATTAATAAGTCTTGCTTCCATACCTTAAAGTCAGACAGTCCAAGACTAAATGCGGCGACTGACACAGCGTAATTGTTTTAAGCATTAAAAAGAGCTAGCGGTTTTTAAATGACGCTAGAAAGTAGTATTGCAGAATATTGTCTCTCATACAAAACAGAAAACCAGCCGCAACCTTTGTCATACACGCCTTTTTTCAAGGCCTGCTCTAACACAATGAGCAAGTTACACGTATGTCCAATTTCCAAGATTGAAATTTCCCGCCCACACCCCCTTTGTAAACTGTGCACTTCACACCTTGTTCAAGATCTTTAAGAAATTGTCAGATTCAGGACACACAACTCTGTNATATTCCAAATACAGTCTACAGAAAAGAGGAGGGAGGGGGAGGAGGGAGGGGAAGGGGGAAAGGAAAAGGACAACTAATGGTAGATGGAATTGCTAAGTTGCTCTCGCCAAAATTTTCACAAATCCTAGTATTCACCATTTCTTTTTTGCTTTGGTTTTTACCACCAATAAAATTTTCTTTTCATCCTTAGCTGACCTTGTTCATTTGTTACTTCTTGTCGTGCCACTAATGTCTCCAGTTTGTCACCAATGTCTCCCACTTTACTTTTTATTTGATCGACATTGTCTGCGGGTCAAAATTGACGTTTTGTTGTAGACAGTCAGGATAGGATAGGATAGGATAGGATAGGATAGGATAGGATGGGATGGGATGGGATGGGATGGGATGGGATGGGATGGGATGGGATGGGATAGGATAGGATAGGATGGGATAGGATAGGATAGGATAGGATAGGATAGGATAACTTTATATGTACACGGTTTTTCCATCAGTTGATTTAGTTAATTATCCATACTAGTAAACCTATTTCACTAACCACAATATTATCATTAGCAGAGTCCTAAAGCTACTGAAACAATTGCATTACTTAAGGGAAGAATAACACCAAGCCAGAAAAGTGATCAAACAGTGCTAGCTCTGATCTCATAGCTGCCAGGCCTTATCGCAGATTCTACAGTACAGCGAGAGGTGACTACCTATTGGAATGTTACTCTTAATCCCGGAAGAAAGCCATTCCATTGCAAGTTACTCTCCCTGCATATCCTGACAATTTTCCCCCCTCAGTCCAGTGTCCCCAACTCTAGCACATCTAGACTTGAGTGTCTTAAGGGCATACATGTAAATTCTCTCCTTCACAACCGTTTCTGGAAACAGCCTATTTCCGAATTACCCTTGGCCTCACTTTCAAAACGAGTCCTGGTGCTCATCCTTTCATATGATAAGTTTTCATTCACATGCCAATTAAACTCATATTCACAAGAATGGTTGAGCACCAGGCCTCGATTTGAAAATGAGGCCAAGGGTATTTCGGAAATGGGCTATTCATACAACGAAACATTCTTTCATTTTTTATTGGTTGAATCGTTGATGGGCATTACATGTACCTTCAATAGCTCTGACCGTTTCTTTGATATTATCTTCATCTTGCTTCCATTGCTTTAGCAGCTGCCTGTAGTGTTCTTCTGTATCAGGATCTATGCACTCATTCTTAAGCTTACTTGTAGCAGCTCCATAACCTTCTCCTGCCAGTCCTAATATGGCATTGCTGATATCCTGCCAGTAGCTGTTGAATGTTGCATCATCCACAGAGGCTTGGCTGGCATGGCCGTACACAGTATTACGATAGTATTTCAGCCTGGCTATGTTGGCTTCCTTACTCACATCTGTGGCTGAGGAAAGACTGTCCCATCCAGTGCTGGGAGGGAGCAACCCACAGATATTCCTCAGTAGCACCATCAATAATGTGATATCAAAGTCTGCCGATGAAACAGATGATGGAACAGTTGGATACAGCTTCCCCCATTGTGTAGCATTCAGGACTTTTTTCGCCTTCAGAGACTGCAGTATAGCATGCTCCGGGTAACGCGCCAAAACTGTATGAAGTCCTACTGGAGGGTGTATGGCATCAAAAGTGTCTCTCAAGGCCTGGGATCCAACGTCTACCAGAAGGCGACACAGTCGAGCATAATTTACTGTGTCCTTGGTGGAAGGAAATTCTGGTGCACCAGTTGTTGCCATGTGCTGTTTTTTAAAGTAGTGAAAAAAGTGTAAGAATTCTTGAAAGTGAAATTTTTTCCAGGCAACTTAGTATTGGCGCGAACTCAAGGTGAAGAGATTTTGACTAATGGAGCTCGTAGAATACAGATCTTAATTTTGTTAAAAGTAAGGATAAAGGCTGTAGCTTGAAGAAAGCAGAAGAAACTTAATAAAATACTGGTAACCACTGACACTTAATGAGCACTCTATCAAATCGTTCATTAAATTGTTTGAGGTTTTGCAGATGTTTTGGACGTGATTGACTGTCACCTGGGCTTTACTTCTGATCCTCAATCGCCAAAATAAAAGAGAAGTAAACTAGTTTCCTATCACCTTAGAACATACCAATTAACTGATGTTTATTTAAAAGTAATAGGAAATTAGGAAGGTCACTTTAATTGATCAATTTTTATTATCTATACTATATAGACATCTTAACATTTATACATGTGTCTGTGGTTTTTCAAAAAATAATTACCTAGTGTCTTAATTCTAATATGTCTACGAATCAATCCTATTTCCTTATTTTTTGTAAACATTAAGTTCAGTGGAGTTTTAAGATTCGTGAGAAAATTGTGATATTATGGTTTTCTGGTAAACATAATAGTTCCTTACCCTTCTTAAAATTTTCTCCTAAAAATTATTGCTCATTGAGACCAACAGAAAGTTAGAGGGAAGCTGAAAGTTAATTCAATTTCTTTCTAAAATAAACAAATGCAATGATAACTACAAGGTCACCTGTCTTGTCCACCCATCTCTCCCACATCAAACAAAAGGACTAAAAAATTTACACCATTTTATTACACGACTCGGGCAGTCAGAGGGCCAATAACTAAAATCAACCTATCAAAATGCTCTATTGCCAGTCCAATATTCTCTAAGTATTGGACCAGGCACTGTCCCGAATGGTCCAGAAAGATACCACACTTGTGTCCCTTTGAACTTCAGTCGTATAATAAATCTCTTATTAACCAAGCTTGCTTGGGACCGTACTAGAAGAATATGGGCCCTTGGTCTTTTTTGTACGGACCGAGCTGCGCTCGGTCCGTACTGTCAAGACCTCGGGCCAATATTCTCCCAGTACGGCTCTTGCGTTTGGTTAAAAAGATAAATTTAAAAATTTAGGATTCATATCACTTCTGTTTTCAGAAGTTGCTGAAATTGCCCTCATTGTT